ATGAACGGCTCTTCGATTTTTTTTTTTTGAATTGTGCAAATTCTATGTTGTAAATATTTAGCGACCCAATGTACTATGATTGAGAGAACATCGTGTAAACATTATGTTGGGTATAAATCCAAGATTGAGGCAAAGCAAATAATTTAATTTTAATGCCTAGAACACTGGCTGGTTCGTGTCGGGGATGGTGCGTCTAGTTTAAAAACAAAACTAAATAGAGACATTCCTCGCACGAAAACGCGTGGGCATTGAAAGTGGCGACGGTAATCTCTGGCTCTCGCGCTCACCACAAATCAAAACTCGCCTTGTGGAAAACAAAGGGACGCCCCCCGAGACGGGTAGCGCGCGAGACAGCTGAGGACGCGCGGGCCCCGCGGCAGAATGGCAGAATCGCTTCGTATCTTTGGCAGCTACTATGCGAGGCGGGGCGAGGCGGGTGGGGCCGAGGCGGGGCGAGGCGGGTGGGTGCGAGGCGGGGTGGGGCGAGGCGGGGTGGGGCGGGCCGGGGTGGGCGAGGCGGGGGGGAGGCGCGGGCATGGCAGAACACGGGGATGGTGGGAAAGGGGGTATGGCTGGGAAGGTGGTGTGAAAGGCGAGGGGAGGAAAGGGCAAAGGGGTTGGGGTGAACCATGCTGGGGTTAGGAGAGGAAGCCAGCGGGCGTGCAACGCGTGTGCGAGCGGTGTGGCCTAACGGCCAGTTTATTTAAATGCGAGCGCCGCGCGGACGAGGCTTGAACTCGTTCCGCGGCCGCGGTGGCGACGGCGCCCGCGATGGTGTGGCGTGGTGGCCGGTGGGCGGCGAGTGGGCGAGAGAGGCGGCCCCGCGGTCAATGCCAACCGGTCCCGGGCACGTGGGCAAGTCGACGCGGGCACGACGACGCAGGGACGCGAAGCCGCTCCCGCTGCCGTCTCGGCGAAACTTCCTTCTGCGCATTGTGGAAATCACCCCCATGCTTCTACCCTTCGCGTCGCTAGAGGAAACGAGGGGAGGAGACATTTTTAGGGTACGAAAAGTAATCATTATCTATGACTGAGGTGTGGCGATTATTATGTTAGGCAACTTAGAGCTTTAAAGATTTTTTTTTCTTTAGATCTCAGCAAAACGTAGCATATCTAAGAGATCAAATCGAGAGAAGAAAGTACTTTCGGAATATTTTTGAAATACCCGTAGATTACTTTATACTACGAACAAATGCATAGTGAACACTTGCATTTATGATGATGCTAGCTTTCTCATTAAATCAGACGTTTAGTGCGGCTTGAACAGTTGTTACATCTTTCTAGAATCTACAACAGTTAGTGACGACTTGTCCGCGTAAAGGAAATAGCTTACTGTTATTTAATAAAGGTGATCCAAATAAAAGTGTCATTCAAATAACATTCATTTAAGTAAATTACCTATGTTAAGTTTAAAGGCCGATCTAGTAACAATTTCGTATTTGAACATTCTTTACGAATGTTTATATACTGTTTTTATTATTGGTATTTTTGCCCCGTGAAACTTTAGAGGAAGCACACTCTTATGATAAACTAATGGGATTCTTCATTATGAATGGAGGAACGCAGTTATGATAGTATAGGTAGTTAGCCTATGTCTTCCGCGTCATCGTACCTGACGCAGTATTCAAAGTGGTGCTGTCATCGCAAGCAGTCCTACCCAACTAATCTGTTACGACATACTTTCACCAAAAATAATCTACCTATGACTTTCACTTATCATCAAATACATTTCGCACACTGGGAGCTTTACTTCTGCTCATTTCACCGCTTACCCTCTTTTGGCCTTCAAAGTGCCAAAAATATACGCCACGGAAAGAAAACTGTTGGGCATTTCCTGACTGAAAATTCTCTATTTCTCAGACACTAATACATATACATGTTTGTTTTGTTCAGAAAAGAGCTCGCTTCATTACAATATGAAAAGAGACTTCCTCACCACAGAATATATCTTAACCATATCAAAACCAAAATTTCCAAAACACAAAAACAGTTACGCCGAAGAGTTAGGTTTTCGGTAATACACGAATATGTCAGGGCGAAGACCCCTGATTTATAGGCCCCCACAGTATGTATATGCATGGCAGGTGCGAAGCCATGCCAGTGCATTGGGTCGATGTAAGCCAGATGGTCCCCCTACGCAGAATGAAGCGAGAAGCACGTCCTGCTTGTGAAAATTTCTTCAGGAAATTTAGAACATTCGTGTGGTGTAAACACACGTGTGACTGACATCCGCTCCTAACTTCCACTCGAAAGATTCGATGATTGCGGTCGAACCATCGAAATAAATTTATCAAAATAAGAAACAAAGTTTGGAAAAAGTCAACGCCTTCTTTTCATTTGTAGAGGAAATGTTCACTCTCCTGATGAGGCACGTGCACCGCTCGTCCCAGTAAGAATAGTCGCACAAAGGGCAGGCAGCATGCGGGTTGTTTACTCCGTGCTTGCTTGGAATCTCTGGCTGCTTCATTATGACGTAACAAAGTGGACGCGGAGATACCTAGCAAGGACAAAGACACTTCAAAGTTCTGATTGAGCTAAGAACAGGCTTTTATAGTACAATTGTTTGTTAGAGCAAGATTTTTACAGCTAACTTCTTATTACGAACTATTTTATTGAGTTTGACCTATTTTCATACGTCAATAAACATTAGGAAGAGAAGTGGATCAGTAAAAAATTAGGAAGAGAATTCAAAAAGCATTAATAAAATCTCTATTTGAAGTGAAACTATCATTATCTACCTAAATTTGACAGTAATATTTTCTTTATTATCTGTAAATTAAAACCGGCAATATCTGTTTCCTGGCTCCAAACATTGACTCCAAACCACAAAAGAGTAAGCAAACTTTTGAAATATCTCTTAAGTACGTTTAAGATGGTGGTCACACGATTGCATAGCATAAAGGTTAGTTACATAATACAAAAAAATAGCAATGGAAAGAAAATTGTCATATTAGGTTGAAAGGTAACTTAACAGGAATATATATCAAAACCTCGTACCCACTTAGACTATGTCCCACACCTAATATTTTAAAGATGTTTTTAAACGCCTTATGAGTACAATCCTTTGGAACGCAGAAACCATCATTTTAATGTGTATTGTGTATTCGGATTTCGTAGCACAGAAGTGGCAATTGTAATATAACGTTCACGATACATACACAAGTGAGTAAAATAAGATATTCGTTAAGAACGTATAACCAATCGCCATTAAAATGTATTTACACTGAGGGTGAGGGTACCAGGTTTTACGTAATTCCAAGGTCAAAGAACACGCTTCTCTCGATGAAAGTGAGCTAATACTCGTAGGAAGGTAGAAACTAATATCTGTATGGGACGTATCACTCCACTTTACACAAATACTTATTTTAAGTTTCCACAAATATGGTTTCAAATCACATAAAGAGAACTGTACATTTAACACAATCTTAGAAGTCTTACGAAGGACTGAAGGTTGTTTTTAGAAATAGTGCACCTAAGAAACGTCGAGAACGAAAAGATATACAGATTTGCAAAATATACTGCGAGTGTTTTACGTGCCACTTTTTAACCCTTGCGAAAAGCGGATGCAGTTGACAGCTGTATGAGCATGTTGCCAAGCAACGCCAAAACCCACACAGGCAGCAAACGAACTCTTCAAGCGAAAATATTTCCCGCGCCAAAGTCATAAATACACACAAACCTTAACGACGAACGCTGAATCAGTAACATAAGAGTATCTTCAACTTGTTTACTTGGATATTGGCCATCTTCGAAAAAAAAATATATTTGAAGTACAGGTAAGGTAGGTTGATACCTTCCACCCAAACCAAATTCTCCACTTTTGTACATAGTTCAGTCGTTTTATAACACAATCTTTCAAGCAAATCAGTTTCCATCCATTGATTTTGATCGGGTATATTTTGTTGAGACGTTCATCTCGCGTAAAGAAATAATAGCAGGAACGTTCGAAAGCAGATTCTCTGTATTCACCACTGGTTGTCCTACCGTACGTAAACCGTAAGCAAGAATGCGAGACATGGCTATTTCGAAAGAAAACTGATTCACTGTAATTTCGCTCCACGAGACTTCACACGTCGTAAAGGACTGTATGAAATTGTTTCTACACGTGAAGCAATGACATTTTGCTTTTGTTAAATTGAGAAGGGCTAGAAACTGATGAACAACACTTAGTTCGTCAGATGTACAATTAATATGATGCGATATTTACCCCCAACGACATATCTGTTACAAATCTGTTTGATCGCTATTTATAGAAAAATATGTTGGTTAAAATGTACAAAATTACTATTATTCGCGTGACATTTCTGAAGGCAGAACTGAAATATTGAAAATAAATTTCCAGCATTTTTAAAAATCTCGAGATTGTAGTTTTATGAAGAACCTATTGTCCAGTGCTTTTAGAATATATCAACCTCAATACTTCATTAACAATAATTAGACATGAAAGTGTAGTTGACTCATCCAAAATCGTCTTAAGTGACATCTTCACGGTACTGTTAATTTGAAAAAAAAATTGAATGCTCCTAGTGCAATCCACAATGAAACTTACTGACAGTTAAACGATTTCCTAAATTCTCTCATTTTAAAGTGTGCTGTACATTGAAAATGTCAAAAGTCACACTTTGTAACATCTGTCAAACTTTTCCTTGTAGACCAGCAACAAGGGAAGAACAATTAAGGGAATATTGAAGCAGTGAATAGCGCAAGTACAAGTGCACAGACAGGCCCGGATTTACATACAAGCAACACAAGCACGTGCTTGGGCATGCCCCAGTGCTATCACTGTTTCCTTCTTTTTTTTTAAAGAAAAAAGAGAGCGGAAAGCCCATCTTTAGATAAGTTGCCAACTCTTAGTTACATAGAGATTGGCAGGAAAAAAAATGTTTGTGCGAAACCGTCCCCAAATCATTTAGGGGAGGTGCCCTTTGCTCGTCTGACCCTTTTGTTTGAGCGGGAGGGGAGGGGGCAAATGCGGCCCTGTGCACAGGGCCATGGCTCACCTCGCGCGGGTAGAAGGGCGCCTGCAGCGCGATGCACAGCGAGCTGCCGAAGTGCACGCTGCCCAGGGCGAAGAGGGTGAGCCACTCCCTCCTGGAGAAGCGGCTGAAGCCCGTGCCGCGCCGGTGGCCGTCGCCCGCCGCCGGCCCGGTCCCCGCCGCCACCGCCGCCTCGCCGCCCTTGGCGCCCGCCGTCATGATCAGCTGCGGCCGGAGCGGCTTCTCGGACGCGGCGAGGAGGTCCGCGCTGCCTGCCATGTTCCGGCGTACTGGGCCGGTCGACCGCTGGCGAGCGCGGTGGCGGCGGCGGCGGCGGCAGCGGCGGCGGTGGTGGCGGCGGCGGTGGTGGCGGCGTCGTGGTCGTAGCTATGGCAACAGCCATACAGACATCCACTGACCGATTTTCCATTAAGCCCTTTCAAGAGCCCAGTAGTTAGAGCATCCTCCTTAGAAATGGCAACAGAACTATATGTTTTTCATACCTTGAATAACCTGCTTATTTCACGCGATCTTTATTCATTAAAATGTATACAATTTCTAATACCAAATTCATTGCAATATGGGTGCAAATTGCAATGCAAAGTATATTTGTTAGAGTTGAATTACCTTAGATATTTAATATTGTTTAATTATAGTTTTCAAATTATCGGAGGTAATGTTCGAAGTAATTTATATTGTCCCTGGAAAATCAAAAACTAAATGAAAAGTATTTACAAGGTTAACTTTATTAATTTTTTTATATAACTTACTTAACTCTATTTTAAAGTGTGCTACACTGAAATATAATGTTAATGTTCTTCACAAAAAAGATATTACAATTTGTAAGCCTCATCGTTCCGATTTGAGCATCTATTGAATTTGCTCATATCAGTAATTAGCTAGTAGCGCAATATCACTTATAGATGTAGTCACCCGCGTCCCGAGAGAGGACAGGAAAAAAGAGATAACGATAATGGTGACGATGGCAATGGCAATGCTGATAATAGCACTGTCAATGATGGCGTGTGCCAAGAGGGTCCACAACAGTCGCGGTTCTCTCATTAACTGTGACGGAGGTGGTTGTTGCGGAGGTGCCAGGATCTGCGACAGCTGTGGAAGTGGCAGCAACGACGTCGCTGCAGGGGTGGATTTTGTGGCGGAGGCGATTAGGAGAGCCACGGACTGTTTTTAGCGGGGACGATAATTCTGCGAAATTAGAAATAAAGGTGGAAACGAGACAGAAGTGACAGGTGTGGTACACGGTGATAGTGGAAGTGATAGAAGAGGCGAGGACGATAGTGGGGACAACCAGACAGCCAGATTCTCGGCAGTAGCGATTTCAGTAGAAACTATCGTTCTGATGGCCATCACGACAATGACGTGTAGTTATGTGTAAAATGGTGTTAAGACAAAAATAAAACCTGATAATTATTAAGGCAAATTAAAAAACCTGTCTTAACGAATATATAATAATAATGATAATAATAATAATAATATTAATAATAATAATAATAATAATAATAATAATAATAATAATAATAATAATAATGAAACATCTTCCTCCATTTGTTATTTAGGTTTTTATTTTGCTCACGATTTTTTTATTGGTGTAAATTGGGAATTATCCATCACTTCCCGAGTCACTTCGCAACTGATGTATGGACGCTTAGGAGTAGCAATTAGAGAGTTGATTAGAAAAATGGGATATTACCCGCACAAGTTTTCTGAGAGCCCTAGGTGCAACAGGAGTGGGGGGGTTGATTATTTGTCGCCAGGACTATTATATCAAATCTGTAATTCATTTTTCGATGCAAAATAGTTTATATAATAAGGGAGCGAATATTTCTGTTATTAGATTTTGCCTCAGCGCTCGTTGCTCATCATTTCTTTTGAATTCAACTAATGTTAGCAAAGGAGTGGGGGTAGGTTCTCCGGGGCTGAAGAACACGTACACGTAAAATAGAACATCGATCATAAGGAACATATCACTTACATTGTTAAACGTTATTGGTGTTAACATCATGAGCGGAATATTAAAATTGTAGATCTCAAATGATGTCAGTTCTGAATTAAATCTGTAAGGAAGAACAACAGATTAAGGCATATTTGAACCTGACCTAACTAACCTGTTTTACTTTTTTTACTGAATTCTACTCGTATTTAGCCTTTAATATTATTAATTTGTTACCTTCAAACTGCAAAATCATTATATTTGTTACTAATTACGCAGATTATTTGCCAAGAGGGTTTCGGAAGAATTGCTGCATCTCACTGCAAAGCGATGTGCACAGTGCTTTTCTTTTTTATCCTAAAGCTTTGGACGCTTATAATTTAAAGCTAATGATTGGCATAGTTTTCTTTTCTATTCTTTTCGTCTCTATGGTCTTTCACTTTGAGAATTATCCACGAAGAATCTTTCTACAAACCTGTCAATTTTAGCTACATTATTGACTGGGAGAGATGGCTCAGGGCATCAACTGATGTCACTGCAATGCCTCTGACCAGGAGGTCTTTGCTTCGAATCCGTAATATGACACGATTTTCGACCCTAGCTTGTCAGCTAGGTCGAGTTCAGTCGCTGTCTGAAGCATAATTGTAGAGTCTGGCTGCTCTGATCGGTAGTTTCCCGTGATTTCTCCGATCAACACCGGGTGAACACCAAGGCAGTACCCTAACAAACTGACCACGGACCACGCGCGATCTTTCCTACCTTTTCCTTGTCCTATCCTCACCCTTTACACACACAAATTAACATACACTACACTACCACACATGCCAGGCGGCAGGTCGAGAGCTCAGCGATGCCATTCTGGTGGGAGATACCTGGTTGAGGGAAAACCCGCTAACCGACGGTAGATCGAAGGATATGGCCATCCAACGCGGGAAGGCCACCGCCACCGCCCGAGAAAAACATGCACTACACTTACGGGGGTAAATGACCATATTAGTTGACGCGCCCGAAACAACTAACAATCAATCAACAACATTCTTGCCAGATTTGCGCGTTTCAATTCGCGAATATACGTCAACGTTAGAGGTTACGCAACAGAGAGTCCCGTCACCTCAATGAAAGCGAAAATGTTCAGTCAGGATTGTTCAATCTCACACTTTACTGTAAAGAAGTGGAAGTAAACTGTCTTCCATCTATTATTGATAATCAGCGGCGTTGTTTCCTAGATGGGTGCTCAAAAACGTGTAATAGTAACGTTATAGATATTGGACTTGACGAAAGTGCAGGAGGATATTTATAGACAAAAAACTATCAATGATCGTGGTGAAGAAAGATTCAACAGAGAGAGAAGGACGCTGGTAAAAGAGATGGCATAATTGTATGTGAAACACATTTGAAATGCCGCCGGGAGCAAATGGAAAGGCTGGAATTGACAATTACAATTCAATAATTCTTGTACAAATAAGATTAACAAACTAGATTACGTACCTCGCGTTACCTATGTTGTTACCCCAAGCATCTATTCAACAGAAAAGGGATGAATTATTGTGGAATATTTCTGCAATGCCCAACTTCGCTCCGTCGTGCCCCGTTCCACTTCACTCTTTCCCAGCACATCCCATCCTCCCCCCCCCATCCCATGCTGCCCCCTCTGTCCCTCACTTTGCCCCTCTCCACCCGAGTCCCAATGGTTGCAACGATATAATCTCTGCATCGGACAGTACCGCATTAAATGTACTGTTGATTACATACTCCCTGAAAACGTATAGTATCAAAAATTGAATTTAATTATCATCATGAATGGAGATCAGATTATCAGTGATATGATACATTTTCAAATAATTGCATGTACGGACTATTTTTAAAAATCATTAAAATCGTCCAGTCAAAAATCTGTACTTTAATTGTTTGTTTTTATAAAAGATAATTAAAAATAGGCTATAGTATTTTTGAAAAAAGTACTTTACCTTTCAGTCAAAGCCCTATCGAAATTGACTTATCCGTTTCCGAAATTAGCTCAGAAAAATGTAGCTTCACTATGCGCACGTCGTGTTGTGCTCTTCTTTTGTTTGTAGTGGTAGGAGAAGAGGTAAGGGCGAGTTACAGTTTTGTTAGCAATGCAGAAAAATCATATCTGCAATTTGTTTACTGTTGCAAATTAGTTTTCTATAACTAGGGAACAAAAATGACTAGTTTTTCAAATGTTGCTAATCTCGCGTTTTTTTAAATATAATTTTTATTTATTTAATTACCTTTAACTTTTACTCATTTTTCAACTATTTATAGTCAAAATGGTGGGAAGGGATTCTGGAACTCAAGAAAACGTGCGCAGAAGATCTTCTTGCCTATAAGTCACATACAGATTTTACTGATTTTTGACAAAATGAATCTAAATCTAAGACAGTTAACAAACAATGGTATAGGTTTTTGTATCGTGCAAATAACCACATGAGTTAAAATTTATGGTTATTTTGACATCACGGCTACTAGAATGTTATTAAAATAAATAATTGAAAACCATCATGTGACAGTGAATATGTTTTCACGTTGTTTCCATTTGAGCACTCTTATTAGCCTCCGAATTTGTCGGTTCAACCACCATTCAAACCTATCATCTCGTTGGAAAGGGCTGATTGATTGTTGGTGATACCGGGCGCGTCAAAGGCTAAGAGCATTAGTCCCACAAGTGTAGTGCATGTTTTCCTCGAGAGGTGGCGGTGATCTTGCCCCTCTGGATGTCGAGATCCAGCGCCGACTTACTGTTGGCTAACGGGGTTTTCCCCAACCAGCATTCTCCCACCAGCGGGACACCGCCTCTGTCGAGTCAAGCTCTTAGCACCTGACGGTTCTCCCGGGATGTGTGGTAGTGTAGTGCATGTTAATGAGTGTGTGTAAGTATTCGGTGAAGATAGGTCAAGGAGGAGGAAGGAAAGGTCGCGCGCGGTCGGTGGCCCGTTTGTTAAGGCCCATTCACAACGAAAATGTAAATATAAGCAATACACTGAAGTATTCACATAACATAAAGGTAAGCAAAATAAGTTTCTATTGGCTGTGAGACTTTTTGTTGAATGTGAGAATCGATTTTAAGATATCGACTGTGTCTATGTCCCATGTGGCGTTTTTCTTCTATCGACTTCGCTCCAATTTCGATTCTCGATTTTGTGTTACCGTTTTGTGATTGGTTCATTTTTTATGTCTTACGAAAGCGTAACCACAGAAGCTTGAAGCTTGCAAGCGTTTAAGTTAACGTCTTACGTGTTATGCTTATGCGAACGCATTGTGAATGAGTACGCTTATGGACGTAGTCCTAACTTTTATGTTAACGCCA